TTGTGGCTTCTCCGGTGTGCTTAAATGAACACTGCCTGGCGTTGCAGATAAAAATACTTGCTCTGTCATGGAGACAGTACAGGTTGTGTTAGAAGGATTAAAACTGTGTTGCTGATCTTGTACTGCATTGTTGTGAGGTGCCACAGGGTCACTGTGCTGCTGGTCATGGGCTGGTGGAGCTGTAAATCACCAGGATGGTTCTGAGTCGTGGTTTGCATTACTTGGCTGCTTGGTTACGATTCAGGGAAATGCAGTTTACATCCAAGTAAACGTTGCTCTGCCTTGCTACGATTGCCTTGGGCAAACCTGCATCCCTGAATTGCAGTGCCAAGGCAGTTGGGGATGATTTGAGCTGAGGATATCTAAAATCAAGCAGCAGCATGGCTTTTCGGGTACAGGACTTTTTCCTTAATTTCTGTGCCATTTTCTGCTCCTGGAGGGCCTCCCGCAGCCCCGCGTGCCTTGGGGAGAGGCCAGCAGCAGCAGCAAGGTCACAGTGCAGCTGGGCAGAGCCTGTGCCAAGTCTGGCCAGGTCATGCTGGGAAAGAGATCGGCACCCGATAAACTGGGGGACCCAGCCTGGGAGAGGGGGTGTGCGAGGAGCAGGTCTGGACCTCGACACCATCAACTCTGCAGAGCTGCTCTGCCAACGGGGAGAAAGGCAGGGGAAGAGGAAGGTGGAGAAGTGACTTCAGGTTAATCTCCTAAATTGGGCTTCACTGAAACTCCCTGGAAATTGTTTGAAGAGTCTTAAAATGCAGGTGCTGTGTTGAGATACCAGGCTGCTCTTACGAGGTGGAACTGCATGGCTTGGTCTGGTAATGTGAATTTTAAACAGCAGCTTTGCCTGCAACCCGCTGGGTAAAACATCTCCCCTCTGTTTGCTTTCCGTGTGCCACTGCTCAAATTATTCTGTAATGAATTGTGAGAAAGGATTTGCTTTTACCATCACTCCAGGATCACATGAAGAACCCGAACTCGGTGTGTGATGCTTGTAGTGCCAAGATGTGCGTGTGCCCTCTGGAGTGGGGATCATGGAGCACAGTGCTCGAGCTCTCCAGTGCCCTGGAAATCACTGGAGCTTTCTGCGTGAACTGCTTTGATCACCAAAATGAATCTTTTAAGATAGATATTTTTTTTTTTTTTTTTCCAAAATAGCAAATACCTTCTCCTGTATTTCTGGAATACCAAACGGTAGTGTTCCTCACCAAGGTTTTGGTTTCTTTCAGCAATCAGAGAGGATGGCATGCCAGGAGGCAGAAACAAAAGCATCGGACCTGTCCAGGTGAGCGCTTCTGGCCGTTTCTCCATGGTTCTCTTCAGCTTTCGCTCTCCTGGCCTCGGCGTACACCTTGTGGGTGGGGGGCTCGGCCTGTGGCACCAGCTCAGTGTGGGATGGGACCGGGGTTGCTTTGTCTGAGCCTTTCCCAGCCCTGTCCATGCCTCGTGCAGGGCTTGGACTCCCCATGAGTGTTAGAAACCCATCTCATGAACAGTAGCTTTGTCAATAAAGCTGGGTGCTCACTCATCCCCGGAGGGGACACGACACAGTCCCAGGTGCCCGTGTGAATTTGCGGGCGGTCTCTGACCATCACCGTGCTCTGTCCTTCATGAGCCACACAGGGACGCCCATCGCTCTGCAGCTCCCAGTAAATCTCAGGGACTCCTGCTGCAGTTCCCGCAGCTGTTGCAAGCGGGGCACCAGTAAACATCTCGTTGATTGATGGCGCAGCTCCTCTGGAGACGTCTGGTAAAGTGCAAGGTAATTCAGCACAGCAGCTTGTGCTGCACGCGTGAGAAACGATGGCCGTTTCCCGCTCGCTTCTAGAACAGCAGTCTTTTAAAAGTTTACTGTTCATTTTAATAAAGCAGAAATAACACTGACAGCATTTTCTGTGACTCTCTGCCTGTGGAGAGACCAATCGCCCCCGTCCAAAACCAAACTGTGAGGAGCCCAGCAACCAGATACCCTGCTTGATCAGCAAAGTCCTCCTTGGTGACCTGAGAAAAAGGCAGAAATTGGGCAGTGCGGCCATGCCTGTGGTCGGCTTCAGAGTGCACCTCACTCAAAAATCCCTCAGTAACGATGGGACATTTTCTGCCGTTTGCAGACACTGTATTTGTAACACCATTGGTTACTGATTCTTACAGCCTCTGTGGGCCTGTCAAGGAAGAAACCAAAAGCCCAGAAACTTCATGTTGCATTTTCCCCACTAGTGATGCAACATCTCTCCAGGAGCATGCCCAGCTCTTTCTTGAAACTTCATACTCTAATGAACTCCATTTTTTATTTTGTTTTTAAGCCCATTTTAACTCACATATATTACTTTCTAATACTTGTCTAAGGTATTAGATGCTTGATAACGTCTTTAGATGGTTCTCTGTAAGCATTTTCCTGACTAATTTTATATATGTCACCTTGCTGGTCTCCATTGCTTTATCAAACCGGAGCCTACCCCATATTCCTTGTGTCATTGCCTCTGTGACATTCCCGATGAACTGGCCTCAGTCGCTTCCAGGTTTTCCCTGCGTGACAGTGGCTGATTTACAGCTCGTCACTGGGTGGTTTTGACAGCTTTTCACATGTTCGTTCCTGCCTGCTGTGTTTCTGTCACTTGAATTGTGCTGCAGGCACGGAGGTCACCGCCATCAGCTGTAAATAGGATTTTTCATGTGCGTTGTTAAACGCTAAGGAAATACGGGATATCTGCAGGGATGGTGAAGTGTTTCTCCTGGCGCAGGGCAGTTTTGTCCATTGGATGTGGCCACATAGTCAAGGTGTTCGTGTACAGAAACTCTGCCTTATTTCTGTGCTGAATTAACCATGATGGTGCTGTGTTTGACAGATATCGGAGGAAGAGATCGAGAGGATTATGTCTGGGCAAGAATTTGAGGGAGAGGCAAACATGTCATGGAGCAACAACGGAGACAGCGACCACAGTTCCCCTGGAAATGGAGTTTCTGAGAGCAACCAGCCTTCGCCCGTTTCTACTCCGTCTTCAAGGTGGGAACGACCCCTGGAAAAACTTTGTGTTGCAGTAACTGTGACCA